TTTTTCACTAGTGTTTTCACATCACTAGGGTGGTGAAACTCCATTGTTCCAACACATGGAGTTGACCATTTGCGTATATTCTCTTCACACTTTAGATTACTCTGAAAAGTGGTGTTAAACTCGTATTAGAATTGGTGGTTGGTGAGCAGCAGGGCTTAGGAGCGATTGGTAAGGATGGAAGTATACTGGACATGTAAGTTGCGGTTGGAGTGGTATGATGTTAGATGGCGTCAATGGAGTTTCACCACCCTAGTGATATGAAAAACAGTAGTTGCGAAGTAAGCGGAGTATACACCGCAACAACAACAGGCACTTTCGCGTTGTGCGTGCGTGCAGAATCATCCTGGCTTAACCACGAAGCGTAGGAAGCTACCAGATAGATCACAACCGACTTCTCTATATGCAGAGACTTTGGAAATCTGGTTCATGCGAACAGCTCGGAGAGATATGCACGAAAAACTTTAATGATGGAAATATCCCACCAAGGGACCTATGTCAAATTCATTGATCGAATCAACAGAGGTGGACTAGGTCAGCTCCGCCCCTTCGTCACGAAGGCCTAGTGTTGTGACTCACTCGGAAATGCCCACTATGAACACAAGACGATAAGGACTGCTGGTACGGTATCAGTCGAGGCGGGACTGATGAATGCGGCAGCAGTGTGCACAGAACTAGAATGCACATGCGTACGCCACAGCTAATATCGATCAGACACTTATATGTGCGTCGCTCCGCTGGACTCCACTACACCTAGTGAAAAACATATTTCACGACTAGTGCATATAACGGTGAATATCGCGTTTTTCACCGAGTTTTACGCAACTTCACGTAAAACGGGTTGTGAAACTTCATTGATTATGAATTCGTCCGTAGACCTATGAATTTGTTATTTTAATATGTTGTGATTTTTCCCCCCAGTAATCGTCCGTGGAATCCGACCGTCGGAGATGATGATATTTTGACTCCGTTGGGAGAAGCAGATAGTTTTACGACAGAAAGCGCAGTTGACGAGGAAAATAATATAAGTGAGTTTTTCCCTAGTGAAAAACATAACTAAAATTTCACTGAGAAATGAATATCGCGTGAAATATGTGAAATGGTTTACGCGATATGGAGTGATTCGTCCGGTGTTTTCAGTTCAATTCATATCGCGTTTTTTATATGGAGTATTACGCCACTTCGCGTGAACCGTTTCTAATGGCGATCTCCTAGAATTGAAGTTGCTGGACTTTTAAAAGCAACTCGGAGAATTCGGAAAATTTTGGTATAAAATATGCAGATGATCAACCACCTGTGTTGAGGACGATATGAGAATTTTGAGGAAATTAGTTATTATATACTTCTACGCGAAATTGCATATAAAACTTCCATACAAGTGAGGAAATTTCAGAGCTCAGTTGAGGAAAGCCAACATATTTTTCAACACTGCATGTTGGTGACAATACCGAAATTACGGTTGAGTTTTGTGTACTTGTACTCTGTAATGAGAAAAGGAAAGCAGACATTCATATTTCCACACTAGACTGGGGGTGTGTGTAGATGAGACGTATCTTTAGGTTGTCTTGGTAAGATGCAAAAGAGGTCCACCACGGTGTATCACACAAGTGATATGTATGATAGTAGAATGAGGAGTTTTTGTTTGTTGTCGCAAACGGTAGGGCGAGCGAAAATTAGTTTTGGGTATTCACAACACTTTTCCAACAATTTTTTTCTCATCTCGAATAGAAATGACATAAAAATACAACTTTGAGAAATTGCAATCAAATTTCCATTCTTATTTCGAATGAAAATGACATAAATTTTCCAAAAAAATCAAAAAGAAAACAAACTCACTGAAAGTAATTTTATTTTGTGAATGTCAGTTTTCGGTTTTAGTAGGAATTCACTTATTGACAAATTTCGAGTTGAGAACCTTTGATATCACTTTCATTCGAGATGAGAATAAAAAGTAGATTTGAATTTTTTGATAATTTTTTGATATTTTTTTTAGGAATTTACGACATTTTTATTCGACATAGGAACAAAAAATTGGAATAGAATTTCAGAAATTCGTATTTTTTAGAAATGTATGTTATTTTCATTCGAGATGGGAATGAAATTTGGTTTGAATTTCCTATACGTTTTAGGTGGGTTTCGAACCACAAGGAAATGATGAGGAATTTTTGATAATGAAATCGTCGATGGAAAGTCGTCAGTCTAGTGCGGGTCTGAGGGACGAGGTCTTGAGGAGAGCTACGTTGACTCGGGAGGAGCTCCAGCAGTTGGAGGCTATAAGGCTGTATCCTCAGCTGAGAGAATTGGAGTTGTGGGAGGTGCGGTATGGGCAGTGTGTGGGAATGTGTTTGAAAAAAAATTGGAAAATTATCGTCGGTTTTTGTACGATTTTACCCGAAATTGTGGGTGGATTTTCATAATGTAGTGAGAAAAATCACGAGCTCAGTTGAAGGAAGCAAACATATATTCCAACACTGATATGGGGAGAGCAATCGAATTTATTTTATCATCTTTTCAGGATCTCAAAGAGTCGCTCGGGAGGTCCTCTGATGGTGTGGGGGTAAGCGAAGACGACAGGAAATGGATAGAAGACAACATAGGGGAGCAGCTTGTGAGGAGTCGTTGGGTTAAAAGTGTTCAGCAGGATATGGCCTCGACTGAGAAGAAGGTAGGGTGGTGGAGGGCGTGGGTTCGATCCTTGGGGGTGTCATTTTTTGGTGGAAAATGTAGTTATAGAGTATAATCTGGGAGCTTCACAACCCGTTTTACGTGAAGTGGCGTAAAACTCGATGAAAAACGCGATATTCGCGGTGATATGCAGCAGTCGTGAAATATGTTTTTTAGTGTTTTTCATATCACTAGGGTGAAACTCCAAAGAATCGAGAGAAAGAATCTCGAGGACTATTTTTCGTATGGTATTTAACAATTTTAATTCTTTTGATAATAACTTTTTCGTATTAACATTTAGATATTCAACTTGAATTTGAAGTTTCACGAATATATTTCTCAGCAGTTGTTGTGAAAATTTCGGAATAGGTAGAAGTGTCACAAGATTTCTAATGTGGAACTTTGGCTGGAGTTATGGGTACTGACTTTTGTTCAGGCTGAGCTACAGGATGTGATGAAGAGTATAGAAAGTCAAGTGGCGGCGGAGAGCGCGGGTTCGATCCCTGCATGATGCATTTTTGTGATGAGTGTTGTCAGAGTCCAGTATCTGTTGAGTTGAGTTAGTCGAATAGTTAACATTGGGTCGTAGTTGCACCGTCTGTTGGTGAGCATCTATTGCTGCGGCATATACCGGGTACATGTCTTATAGAATGTACTCTTGTTGTATATGTTGTTGTATATGTTGCTGTTGTATATGTTGTTGTTGTATATGTTGTTCTTGTTTTTGTTGTTGTATATGTTGTTGTTGAGCTACCAGAAGCAGATAGAATTATAGTGATGAAAGATAGTTAAGTTGTTGGGGGATTTAGTTCCTCCCCTATTGAATTCAACTTCTTTTTCTTCTTAACTTGACATCATCACGGTTATAATATATTGCGGTTTATATGACGTGTGTGGTATGAATAAACAACCTCCTGGTATGGCTCGGAGGCGCCAATAGTTGAGTATTCGACGATGTGAGTGAGTGGTCCGCAGATTAGTATTGGAAGCGATGTTCGAGAATCACGCTCTCGATAATCAGCATTTAAGATACTGTATCATAAATATCTCGTCTCGAATGGTAGGGAGTTTATGAACGGCTTATTGTCTTGGTTGTTTTCAATTCCTAATGTGGGTAAGGCGTTGGTCACCAGTCTTCTGAGATGAAGTCTCGGAACCTCTCCTAGGCTCGTCTAGTGTCTTAGTATACATTTTGCCGCTTACGTGCGTGTGAGTTTCAGCCTACGACAAAACGGCTTAGTCAGACTCGCGTCGATGCACAGCAGCTCCCGAGGGGTCAGTTTTAGCCTTTTAAATTGTCTACTTCCATCATACCAATGAATTTTGTTCACAGGGCGAGATAACCTCTGCCCATGTACTTCCTTTCCTGTTGAATGGAGAGTTGAAGTAGTCCATGATCAGCAGGAGACGTAGTGAAGCTTATGAAGCTCAAGAATGACCAGAACACCATGGAAGAGCAGAACGTCCTTTGTTGTTGTTATTTATGACATGCAATTGTGTTCGAGTATTCCTGCAATATCATTATCCGATTATGAGAATCATTCCGGACGTCTGAGAATCGAGGTTGCGCCTCACGGACTGGACGGGTACCTCGCAGGCAGCAGCAGCAGGAGCGTTGAGAGTACAGAACGGTGTCGCCATTCGATGCTCTCAGCAACGGTGATAGTAATGATAGGAAGAAGTTTGTTTAGATACGAAGAATTTTTTATTATAGGTTCTACCGGGATTTGAACCCAGATCGCCAGATTCAGAGTCTGGAGTGCTAACCGTTACACCATAGAACCAATGTTATAATTGTGTTTGAGCCGTGCTCACCGGAGGTTCTCATAGACAGCGTTATTTCCATAACGTCAAACTAGTCGTGCCTTCCTTACACGCTTTGTTGATTGGTCCTCAACGTGTAACTTCTTGGCTACGTTGGGAGAAGAGAAGCTAAAGTTGAGGTCCAACCTTTCTCGGCGTGCTATTCCCCACGAGTTCAAGCACGGTAGAAAGTGTTGGATGTGTTGTTACTTCCCGAGCTAGCTTCGGGTTGACAGAATAATCATGTATCAATAAGTATCAGGTGGTAATTCTGATATGCATTAGTGCCAAAAGTGAGGGGCTCTTATCATGTTGATGAAGGATGAGGAGAACCCAAGTTTCTCATGGTATTTCGCATTTGGTGGCGAAGCCTCAACTTGAAACACTTAGTCGTTTACGAAAAAGAACGTTTCATAATCGTTCACACTCACATGAAACACCCTTCACAAATGGTGCGGTATCATCAGCTTTACCTTCCCCAACGATCAGGGATTCGACTCTATCTTATGTTCTCTTTTACAACATATACCGGAATCAGCAATGAGCATGCTAGATTAGACCAACCGGGCTAGAGTCCTATCATTGAGCTTATGTTCACTTAAGGTACTCTACACATTGTAAATACGGGGAGTTAAATTCGGCAAGATGACTATATTGGCTCAATGTATCAATGATCAGTATTTTTAAGCCCTATGAAGACCCACAGATTCAAATGCCACGTGCACATGTACACGAAAATCACAAAATCGTGAGACTTCGATGTGATCCCAAGATGAGTCTCACCATCTTTCTAGCGTGGTATTTACCACAACTGACTTGGTAATCAAATCAACAAGAAACCAGTCTCTATTAGGAACATGCAACATTCATGAGAATAGCATGACAGAACAGCACGAAAATTGCCTCCACGACTAGACAGAAAACCAGTCAATGAGCAAACCCGACACCACCCGATACTAGGAACTCTACACTTTACATTGAACCCAGAAGCTATTTCAATGGTTTAGCCCTTCCAACAAAAGCGATGACGATTCTGCTATCAGCAAGTATTAGGGAACCTTTAGTATCCACTACTACTTACTGAGCGCCAATGAAACGATCAAGAGAACCCTTAGAGGAGAGCCACTGAGCGTGGACTCCCATGGGGATCAAACGGCCCATGGCCTTGTACTTCTGGTAGTCGTCCTTGGTGAACCGAGTGAAGCCCCAGTTGTGAGAAACATGAATCTTCTGACGACCAGGGATCTTGAACTTAGCACGCCTAAGAGCCTCAACGGCAATCTGCTCCTTGTCCAACCTAGTTCGGATGGAGATCAACACCTGGCCGATGTTGACACGAGCACAAGTACCATTGGGCTTGCCATAAGCACCACGCATACCAGTCTGGAGCCTAAACAAAAGTAATTAATTAACCACAAGGATAGACTTATACACTCTACCTATCAGCACCAGCACAGGAAAGCATTTTGTTGATACGGAGGACGTGATAAGGATGTACACGGATCCTCATGTGGAAGCCTTCCTTACCGGCCCAACGCAACATATAACGGTTGGCGGCGACACGGGCAGCTTCCAAAGCCTCAGACGAGACCTAAAGTGGAGCAATAACCACCGATAAGAAAGATGAGCACAGTGTTACCTGTTCGTACTCATCAGAAACCATGTGAACGGCAGCGGGGAACTCATCTACGGAGGCGTTCTTGTAGCCAACGTCGTAGATCCTGATCTTAGGATCAGGCACACCCCTGCAGAACCTACTCTTGGGGTAGGGCTTGTTCTTGCAATAGCGATAACAACGAGCTGGACGGCGACCCATGATTAAACAACCAGGTTAGAGGTCTGAAGAAGGTTGGACAGGCGAATCTCACTACCTTATCGATCGCCTGATCGATCTCTGCTAGTTAATGGTAAAAAGCGCGCGCCCGAATAGTGGTTGAGGATTCCACGATCAGCTTGTGTTCCGCTGTAGCATCGTGAATCGGTACGATGATAGGATCTCTATCAACCTTGAACTGAGGGAGGGGAGTAGGTTCGAACTGATCGGACTGAGTAGGAAAAAGTATCATTCAATGAAGCCTTCGACTGACATCGATCTTCCCCAAGAAGCCATAGATGAATATCGTAGGGTTTTCAAACTCATCGACAGAGAGAATCGAGGTAACAAGCTGAACTTTCAAGAATCTTCAAGAATCTCTTCATAGGTGTGCTCAATCCGTACGAAATAGGCGTGCTCATGCGAGCTCTTGGCCTTTCACCAACAGAGGACGAATTGAAGCAAATTATGGACGACTACGACCTTACCAACAGAAAGGGTATCACGATTGACGAATTCCTCGAGGTGATCAACCTCTGATAAAACCACGTCGGAAACCATCCCATAGGTCATGACTCGGCGCACCCACTGCACAGGTCTGGGTAAGGACCTTTTGAAAGCCTTTCAAGTGAGTTACTCTACAGCGCTGGTTAGCAGTGGTATTGCACTCAGCTCTTCGACCGAGACGGCAATGGTTACCTATCCGTTCGAGAACTACGAGAAAAGCTCTGCTCGGCTGGCGATGCACCGTAGGCCTCCGATGCAGACCAGTTCTACCACGTTGTTCGTGTCCACACTTGTTGTGCACCTCAAAATTGATTTCCTTGAACTACCTTTTACAGTAACTGTAAAAGGTAGTTAGTGGTACACTAACTGTAATACAGTTAGTGGTTTGACGAATATTTTTTGCATCAGAGTTGTTGTTCAACACTGCTGTGGTTCAGATTTAGTGCGAAAGAGTTCGACGATTTCTTAGCTGGAGTAACGATTACGTCCGATGAACAGCTTGAATACCACCATTTGGTTGATCTCATGATGCGTAAACCCTCATGAACTGTTGTTGGAACCATTCAGTGTCGCGTTCTAAGAGTACACTTACTCTGTTGAGGGTCGGTACGCCAGAGTTCTCGGCAATATCCTTACTCGAGTGATTGCATCGAGAAATCTAATGACAACTCGATCTCCATGGGTGTATCAAAGAGCTAATGTTCCCTCCAAAGACAAAATTACAGATTACCCACTCTGACTATTTCCATAACATGCAGCCGCGAGATTCATGACATCAACCGTCTCAACCTCGTTGAGGTTGAGGTTACCTCGACTGCATTCTAGGTTGGGCAACAGTAATACCATCACGTCTCTTCATCGCGTCCTCCACTGTCATTGGTGGCATGACCTTGTGGAGAATCGCAGTTCACCATGACCTCCATCCTAGCATTCGGAGATTCTTTTCGTGTCGCCATTGACAAGCGTTGGAGGGTTTTACCAATACTTTTTACACGAGATTCTTGCCCACCCAATCCCTGTTTTCTTATAAACAATGGTTCAATGTGTGAGCCGGCACTCTTAAAGTTTCCTTTGCGATTGCGTTCAGACATTCAGACGGTAAGTATTTCCACAAGTCGAACACACCCTTACCGGGAAAATAGATAGTTGCTTCAAAGGTTCACCACCTCTCAGTGTAACTCTGTACCTCAGCAACTCGACAAACAGGAATGAGAGGATACTATTTTATATCAGGGCTAATTAGCTCGTCAATAGGCATGTTCAAGGAGCCTTCAGTAGATGCGCCCGTCCGATCTGACGGTTGTGGCTCCCACTCCAATAGCTTAGGGCTGCTAACCTGTAAGGCAAGGTGCGGGCCAGGGAACGAATCTTAACAAGCATACCAAATCTTCACTCTGGTCAGCGGCGAAGATTCTCAATTGCCTTTGTAACCTTTGAACGCTATCGGCCGAATTTTGCCGTTCTCTGTGCAGCTCACTTCGTGTGAATTGGAGAGCCTCCTCCAATCGTGTCGCTCTGACAAACTCGGTGAAGAGAGAGTCACCACTGGAGGCGATCGGATAATACGATACCGACAAAAATGAGGTACGGATTGGAGCCCAAGGATAACGTGTATCACGATAAACCTGCGACAGCGCACTTGACCATGAGTTGATAATATAACAGGAAGACACACTTGCATGATGCTATTCCCGGGTAAGTTGGAACTTACGACCTACACTCACGAAAAAATACTCTGATCTCAACGAATCGAATACGAGTGAGTAGTACATACTCTGATTACGTTTGATTTCGTTTACTCTGATTTGATTTCTATGTATTGGTAGCTTGCTCTATAAGGGCTATAGCTGTATTATTATTACTCTGATTACGTATAGTAGAGCCAGAATGTGATAATAACTCACTTTAACCTCAGATTCTCCACCTCCTCACTAAGCATCTCGGCACTCGCCAAAGATGCTCTCCTCTCACCCAGTTCCCTCAAACGCTGATCTAGAGTCCTCGAGGCCAACTCTGCTGATGCTAGTCTACGTGTTGATGCCCGCTCCATCTCAGCCTGAATCAAGACAGCCGTCGCCATCCCGGAAACTCGATCGAATACAGAAAGACGTTCCTCGAGCAGAATCATCAGAATTCGCCATAGTTTGCAGATAACCAATTTCGACACCAACACTCACCAAGTGTCATAAGTATAGACCACTCGAACTCCTGTCCACATCTCAAAACTTCGACGTGCTCAGACTACCTCTATAATATCAACAATGACTAATGTTCACTATAAATCTCATTCACTCCTGTTACTCTCTCACACTACCACGAGGTACCGCACACTCACAAGTAGTACGCGAGGGAATCCAGGATGTGACCATACCCCCATCTCTTACCAGTCTTCTGTTCAACTCCTTATTGCGCTGTCTTTCTTCCACTAGACTTTCCTGTGCCTTGACCAACCTGGTGTTCTGGGTTTCTACCCGGTTGCAAAGACTTGCTAATTCGCACTTAGTTGATTCGGATGATATCTTCTCTTTATTCAGTCTGCAATTACAAACATCGATATCAGTGAGATGAGAGGTGCGCGTGGTCAGCAACTACAATACCGAGTGTCTCTACTAAGGCCATTTCAAGATTCTTCCATTCTCAGAGAGCGAACGAGTGTTCATGATGCCACCAATCTTGAGAGTTCAAAAATCAACTTCCAGCAACAATTTTAATAGATTGACGACATTTCAAGAGCTTCTCGTTTTCCATTAACCATATCCTCAAAACATACGTCTGCATAGGCTATGCGGCATAGCAGCTCGAACTAGACTGAATATATAATACCACATAGCAGTTCACGCCTCGAGAAAAATTCCTCCACAAATGGTACCTCACGTAGTCTGTCCACCATCGAGCAACTTCAATGCGAGTACCTTCCCGGTTACCTCGTCATTAACTTTGAATTTTCTGCTTTCACTGCTTTCATCTTGGCGTCGGCAGCCTCCAGTTCTTCTTTATGAGCTGCTTGCATCTTCTCAATCTTCGACCGTAACACAGCTATTGTATTCTCCGAATTCCTCCGTACGTTACGTATGTCCGCGCTGAACTTCTGAGGAACGGAGGGCCTTCTCCAAGGCATCTCAGGTTGATACTCTTTAAACAGAATAGAAAATACAGGACGACAGACAAGTTGGTGCTACCGAGGCTAAACCTCAGTCGAATCACCCCTTGGTGTCATCGAAGGTCCCTCTACCTCAACCGGCTAGATTCAGGAGATGTTCGAGGAGGCATACGCAGACTGTCTGAATACGTCCTTTCTCGAGTACCTCAGCAGCCCTTCTATCTGCCTCCTTCCTCTCCTCCTTCACCATACCCATTAGATCCCCAACTCGAGCTTCTAATTGCTTCAAGTCTTCTCTCGAGCTCGACAATGCCGTTTCGAGAGCCTAATCCTCTAGTGATTATAAGTGTACTCCAGAAAGATGACTTTGATGGTCCTGTCTTTCTCCCGGATATTCTCCTGCAACTCGTACGATGCAGCATCAGAGTTATGCCCTGTTGCCTCTTCAAGCTGCCTGTGGAAGCGAGACAGGCATCGGAGATTCTTCACACACTTCGAACAGCACTACATCATCATATTTCTCTGGCGCTGAAGTTCTTCCCTCAGACGTTCATTCATCTCCTCGTCTGCCCGAACGTTCGTTTCATAACGGTCCCTCTCCTCGGCGCCCCTCTGCCTCTCCGCATCGATAAGGTTCTCGAGTTCGAAAACCTGGGAGAAACGCAACCGTTCCATTCCAAATGGTCGCAACCAACTGACCTGCTTCTCGAGCTCAGCCGACCTGTCCTCTGACTCCGCCAGGTGCTGTTGCAAGCGTAGCATCTCCGCCAACACCGCTTCCTGTCGTCCCTGAGGAAATTATATGGAGTTTTCTCGAGGCGAGCGGTGAGTCGTAGATGCCATGATGAAGCCTTCATAGCTGTACCTGTGATGACTCGGAAGCCCCAATCTTGTCCTTGAGACTATTGACTTCGGCAAGAAGTGTCGTTACCTCGGTTTCCTTAGCCGTTAGTCGATGCTGGAAGTCCTACAAAAACACTCAATGTCATGGTACGTAATACGTATATTTGCACATGGCGCGGTGAATCAATTTCCGATAGATCTATCTCGGCAACTTATGAAGGGCTAATTTTTCTCATTAAACCGTTGATGACTCATCCACGGTTTAATGAGAAAAATTCGCTTCACTCATCAATGATGAGTGGATTGATCATTGACATCAGTCTGGTCACTCACACAGAAGATCACTCAAGGCTAGCAGTAGAGAATATCACAGGATGTAGCGTAACAGCAACAACAGAGATACTACCAATTGAAGATGGCGTATATCCTCATCAGCTTGTTGTCGAAGCTCCCGGAAGGCCCGTTCCGCCTGTTCCTTCACCTCCTCTAATTCCTCCCTCGGTACGAGGCCGCCTTTCGAAATGCGTCGACGAGGGGGCGGCAGGGTGGATTGTGTATCAATAAATATGGGAACTGATGGCATAGCTGCCCCAACCGGGAAATTGATTGTACTAGGGCGTATCTTGGAGTGACATAGTTGCCCCAGGGGGGGGGGGGGGGGAAATTGATTGTACCAAGGCATATCTTGGAGTGGCATAGCTGCCCCAGGGGGGAAATTGATTGTACCAAGGCATATCTTGGAGTGGCATAGCTGCCCCAGGGAGGAAATTGATTGTACTAGGTTGCCCCAGCAGGTTAAATAATCCTTCAGGTGTAGTCTGCCCCCAAATAGGTGTAGGACGACACTAAGAGGACACGAAGGACGGCATCAAGTTTCCCCCCATCCTATAACGCGAAGCTCCGCCTAATAGGACAACAGACACTCATCAATTACATGGAATACACATCAACATCAGACATTACAGCCTACAGATGCTCATGGAGACGAAGACTCTCAATATGCATCTAAATGGGGGACCAATCATGGGCACCAGTATCTCACGAGATCGTGCAGGATGATTCTTTCTGCCTCCGAGTCATCCGTGACTCCTCCGAGGTTGATAAAGTAGCTTCCTTAATTGCCTGTTGAATAGCGAGGTAGGGATCGAGGACTCCGTACAGCATCTCGTCTTTATCCGTTTTCGCTCTTCCCTTTGTGGAGTTCAATAATATCCTCTCGACGTCTGCTGGATCGAAGTGCCCCAAACTCGTCACCAGAGCTGCTATCCCGGCAACAATAGCCGTGGCGACCGATGAGCCCGTACTCTTTGAATATAGCCACTCGCTTCCCTCACGCTCCGGTGTTGGGAACCAGACGTCGGAGGATGGTACGGCAAGAGTTGCCAATTTGGAAGCCCCACTGACCAACGTCATCGGGTCATCCACGTAGGTTGAGGTAACGCAGAGAACTCCTGTTATACCATTGGCCTGGGAACAAGGTTGCTCAATCTCGCACGCACTGTCGACTTTGTCCGAGTTAGAGGAAGATACGAGGACTACGAAGCCCTTCTTGACAGCTTTCTTCAACACACGACTAAATAGAGCCGCAGTCTGACCACAATTCTTTCCACTATAAGCGAAGACTATGATGTCGGTATCATCACATCGCAACGCCTCCTCCCAGCGCGAGAGAACTTGACAGGAGCAACTCCCTTTTCATAAGACATCCTAACCGATCGTATTTCACTTATCGCGATCCCACTGATACCTTCGCGTTGTTCGAATTGGCCGCAATGATCC